GCAATATAATAAAATTTTACCATAAACATAAACTTCTCTGCTTTCAGGAAATATCTCTTATTGACATTATTTGCTTTTTTGCTGCTCTCGGTAGACCGCTTTGAACCATTGTTCTATTGCTTTCAAATCCCACTATGGTGCATTTAATTCCTTCCCAAAAACCTATACAGGCATCACTTTGGAGTTTAAATGCAAAAGAAATGTGTTCTGTGGATTGCTGGAGATTTTTCATAGCATCATAGCCTAGGACACTGGGACTTTGGTAATTTGATGGAACCCTTTCTATTTTTTTTTTTTTTTTATCACAGTGGAGGCTTCTGAAAATGAGTGTTTTCACCAGTGGAGGTTAAGAAGCAGATAGAGTTCAGTGAAATTTTTCTTTACTTCGTAGATAGTTGTAATGTTCTTGAGATTTCTTTTAATCTGAAAATTATGTAGTATATACATGTATACTCTCAGTTTGTATACAGCTTTTTTTCCTCCATAGGTGGTTCTCTCTTTAGACACAGGACTATGTTGTGTCTGATCTCTTACTCATGGCAGCATCTTATGTGTAGCACATATGACATGTATGTTGTATCTAATCATTAAACATTGTTCTTTTGACTATATCCCAGAAGTTTAGAGCATGTGTTTGTCATTTTATAAACGTACTAATTTCCCAGTTTATGTTTTCCTTTCTTGGTTATGAGGCATTATTATTGTCACCTTTCTTTTCGTTATGTGTTCATCCTGGAAAAAAGTCTTCTCCACAGCATGGAAACCCTTAATTACTTTAAAACATCACAGTGATTGTACCCTGATTTCCAGGCACTCCACTAAAACATGGGTTTGTGAAGTAATTCTAGCTAAGAAGATATTCAGGGAAGTCTGACAAATTCCTAGAAAACTTTTCCTACGTACTTTTTTTTTTTTTCCACTCAACCATTCTGACTTTAAAAGACTCTTAGATCCAGTTCTGATAAAATGGATGTAATTAGTAATTGCATTTACTGTACTAATTGGTTAACCCAGTAGATTTCTGTTTCTATACCAGGAAAATTTGGGAAATTAAGACACATTAAGTATGTCATGTTTGATAAATGTGTTGCTGAGTATCATAGCTTACTGCATGACAAGAGCTCAGATAGTAGAATCCAAAAGAGATAAATGGGTTTTGGGGTAGTTCCCCTTGCCCAAGTCTATTCCATTAGCACAAGCTTTCTGCTGCAGTTTTGAGGTTTTCAGCTACCTACTTCTTTATCTGCAGGACTGTTCTACGTATTTCATTCACCCATTTCCTTGGCCTCTACCTACTGTGTACTAGAAAATTATATCTGTAATGATGGTTCAGATATGAAGTAAATCAAGCCTAAATAAAAGTGTGGGAATGAAAGAATTTGGCCAGCTTTTTATTTTTTATTTTTCTCTATTTTAGGGAAGTGTGTACAGGTGTTCAGGGTCTCACTACTAGATCAGACTCCTAGTGATTCTCTTGTTTACCGCCTCCCAAGTGCTGGGATTACAGGTGCATGCCACCATGCCCAGTCTCAATCACTGTCTTGGCAAGCCCCGGGGGCAGGGCCAGCACAGGAGGCCTGGGGATCAAACCCCTGACCCCTTTGTCTGCTTGCAGGCACTTTAATCTGCTGAGCTATTTAGCTGGCCCCAGCTTTTTTTAAAAAGCAAATATTAACTAAAATATTATGGGGCACTATCTCAGTTACTCTTCTATCATCGTTTGGACAGATACCGAACACCCAAAATGAAGGGAGGAAAGGTTTACTTAGCTCACAGTTACTGGAGGTTTCGGTCCATACTCAGCTGGCTCCAAGACAGAGTGGCACATAACAGCAAGCAACCTTTAATGGTAGCAGCAAAGATCAAGAGCAAAATGGAGGAGTAGCAGCAACAATGTCTATAGAGAACAGATCTGCCTTAAGTTACATTTAGGCTATCTGCCCCAGGCTGGGTGTAGTACTCATACCCATAATCCCAGCAGCACTCACACACATAATCCCAGTGGATCATGAGTAGTCACAAACTCTAGAAGTCTGCCTCATGACTTACATGAGGCTTTTGGGGGTGGGACAGCTAGACACAAACCGTAACAGGCACCTAGTATTAAAAAAAAATTGTTGGGCTAGGGAGATAGCTCTGTGGTCTAAGCACCTGCCTGGCAAGTGCAAGGACCGGGCTCAATCCTGAGTACCACATGCGATGCTGACCTCAGAACCTGGGTGTACCATGCTGGCCACTGAGACCGGTATGGTAGCACAGGCCTCTAATCCCAGTGCTGGGGAGGCTGAGACAGGAGGATCACTACAAGTCCAAGCTGCATAGGGAGACCCTGTATAAATAAATAAGTAAATAAATAAATATATATATTTTTTAAAAATGTGTCAAATGGCAAAACTCTTCCAGCATGACTATGTGTTAAAGTCTGAGTCCGTTTTGCCTATGAGCAAACAGATCTGTGTTTCATATTCTCAGAGCTTGCAACAGGGCTTGTACATACAGCTAGGCATCCTGTGCAAATAGAGTGCTGAATGAATGTTGTCAGCTTGGTCCCTGAGACACACATTCCGGGTAGGGATTTAAATAAAAAGGAATGAGTAGTTTGTAAATGTGTAAGTTATTTTCCAGGCTGAGAACCCTACAGTGTGTTTCTTTTGTGCTCGGGATGTAATCTAGCGGCCCCAGTCTAACCTTTAGAAACCTGAGTGCAGTTAGTCTTTGCCTTTCCTCCTCCATCATCTCTCCTCTCTTTACTAAGCTCATGTTTTTTGGTCAGATTTTTTAACTTGCTATGTTCCTTATTATCATAGAGTCATGAAGCTGCCATTTCCGGTGCCTGAAATCTCCACTCTGTTTTGCAGCTGGTTTTTCTTTCAAGTCTCAGACTTATTACTTTCTTAGAGAGGTGTGCTGATCTCCAAGCTGAGTTTGCACCCTCTCCATCTACTCTGTCTGTTGATTTGTGCAAAGCCTCACACAACATTGAGTGAAAAGTGTTAATTTGTTTCAAATCTACCCTCATATCATAAGCTCCATAAAGATAGGATCATATCTGTTTTCTTTTTTAGTATCTACAGTTAGTATTTTTAGCACATGGTAGGTTCTCAGCAGCTGCTTCAGTGAGAGCAGTTGCGTTTGCTTAAGGACAGGACTTTCCAGGCTTATAAGTTTGTCCTCTGTTTCCATCATGTGGAATTTTTAGACCAGGTGAGGTTATGAACCCTGTTGAACATTGGAAGGAAGTGGGAATGATTTGTTCCCATTTCCCCCAAAGTGACAAATCAGTTAATAAGGATATACACATGAGACCTGACCCTGGCCTGGTGTGGCACTAAGACATGAATCATTTCTGTCTTGTCTTAAGTTGGAGAAAAAATAGAATAAAATGGGTAAGTACTTTTTCAATCTATTCATAGGTAGAAAAAGAAAGTTCAAGGGTTTTTAAATGATTCATATATATATATATATATTGCTTTAAAATTCATATTATGTATATATATTTATCATGAATCATTGTTTATTACCTTTTTGGTCAGTTTCATTTCATTATGCAGTGTATTACTGTAATTGGTTTAACTACCTCTGATGTCACAATTTCTTCATTAAGAAGTCATAATTTTCTTGAAAATGCATAATGGTAACAACTCTTGCTCATGTGTCTCATCATAAGAAAGATACTATACCAAAAGTAGAAATGCCAGGAGGAGCAAAATACCTTTGATCCACACAGACCTCTTCCATTTATGTGCTTTAGCAATCTACTGCCAGTAATTGAAGCTATCTAGCTTCTTGATTTTCTTTTACAACTGATGTCATTTTGGTTTCCATCTCTGTCAGTTGGTAGGCAGATAGAAGGATGAACCCAAGTAGACGTCATCCTTCACCTCCTACTTTCGTTTCATCTCGGCTCTTGAAGCTTAGCCTCCTTCTGCTACTCAGCCTTCCTGACTCCAAAGGAAAAGCAATATGGACTGCTCATCTGAACATAACATTCCAGGTGGGAAATCGGATTATATCAGAACTAGGCGAAAGTGGAGTGTTCGGGAATCATTCTCCTCTGGAAAGAGTATCTGGTGCTGTGGTACTTCCTGATGGATGGAATCAGAATGCTTGTAATCCACTCACCAATTTCAGCAGACCTGAACAGGCAGAGTCGTGGCTGGCCCTCATTGAAAGAGGAGGCTGTACTTTTACACATAAAATCAATGTGGCAGCAGAGAAGGGAGCACAGGGGGTGATCATCTATAACTATCCAGGTACTGGCAACAAAGTGTTTCCTATGTCTCACCAGGGAACAGAAAACATAGTGGCAGTGATGATAGGCAACCTGAAGGGCATGGAGCTATTGCACTTAATCCGGAAAGGAGTGTATGTAAATATCATCATCGAAGTGGGAAGAGTCCACATGCCCTGGCTGAGCCAGTGCATCATGTTTTTGTTTACCTTTCTGTCAACCACAATTGCTTACATTTTTTTGTACTGTGCTTGGAGATCTGGCATGCCCATCTATTCTGCCAGGAGGCGAAGACAAGTGAAAGCTAGTGTGAAGAAAGCTGTAGGCCAGCTTCAGCTTCGAGTGCTCACCGAAGGGGATAAGGAGGTAGACCCACATGAGGACACGTGTGTCATTTGTTTTGATGTATACAAACCACAAGATGTAGTGCGTATTTTAACTTGCAAACATTTTTTCCACAAGACGTGCATTGACCCCTGGCTTTTAGCTCGTAGAACATGCCCCATGTGCAAGTGTGACATCCTGAAAACTTAAGCACAGAGGACCTTCTGAAGATGGGGCGGATCTTTCCTAAGATTGAGATTAGATGAATTTTCTTACCTCGATTTCTATGGAAAGTGTCAAGTCAGCATCTCTGTCCAAGTACCAAAGAAGGTGAATTTCTGTGTGTAAAAATAAAACTCCATTTCATTGCCAGATATTTGTGTGCTTTCTTTCTAATAAGTTCTAATTATTATACAGCTTTGCCTTTCTTCAAATGAGGACATTAGTATATGTAATAAACAACTTAATTTTTATCAACAAATTACTGATTATGACATCAATTCAATGGGGAATAAGTTTTATTTTAAAATTTCTGGTCTTAAAATGTTTTCTTGTGCTTTGTTTTTAGACTTATCTTATTTTTTGTTCTTAGTAACATTTTTTCTGCTCATGAAACTTCATTACAATGAATTCACCTTGGTCAGTTAATTTTATTAATATCCAGAATGTTTGTTTTTTAGAACTACTGACTGAGTGGGTAATACATTATAAATAATTATCTTACATAATGGTACTTTTGGTTAAATAACTAATGCTTATAAACTGTTATGGGTCTCAGAGCAGCAGTACAGAAGTTCACCTGTACTTGCTGAAGCTCTTTAAATCCTAACATGGTAGATCAGTTATAGTAGCAGCATTTTCATTCTAAATGGGCCCTTTATGGATGCTCTTTTCTTCCCTCTCTGAATGGCAGTGACTATTTCTTACTTTGGGATCTGTATAACAAACAGAACTGAAAGTTTGCTCAATCTGCCTTTCCATATTGTATTTTGGGCCATATTGTATCCCTCTTTCTTTTCTAGTTGATGAATAAATACCTATGTAAGCATAAAAAACTGAAGGACTTGTGTTTTGTTTTGATGAGAGTCACTCTTTCTGGACGATATGCTAAGCCTTTGAATGCACTAAACCATTATCGGATTGAGATGGAGCTTTCAGAATCTACAGCATATACTATCCTTCAAAAAAATAGTGATGTGTAGAAATGAAACAAAACTAAAGGAACTTCCTGAAAATGCACTATTTTAAGCTAAAGGAATCACAGTGATATACTGTCCTATTTATGCCACATGTTGTTGCGTCTGTAACGCCTTTGCCTCTCCCTCCCTCCCTCCCTCCCTCCCTCTCTCTCCCTCTCCTCTCTTTTCTTCAAGTTGCCTTATTGTTGGCGCACATTTCATATAATCACCAGCTGTGTTGTCCTGGGGAAACCCGGCACAGAGGGCAGAGACATTTATGTTCGAGGTAACAGTTTTTGGTCTTTGCTTCTGAGCAGCCACTGAAATGTACTACCAAGACATTTGTGTGTGGCCACATTCGTGGCTTACCATGTCACTTAGCAAACCATTCTTGAGCTTCAGTGCCACATTGTGCTTTGGTGTGAGAGCTGCAAAGACATCGGGAGAACTGACAGTGTGTTTTGGCTCTTCCATTAGGAATATTTGTTGAGCTGGGCCAAAATGTTTCTTCACATCAATAGATGGCCTTTAGCCATTGCTGCTGTCAGTGGTCTACTTTAAATGTGGACTTTGTCATTTTTCTTTTTGAAATCAATACTTCCTTTTGTTTAAAAATGAATTTTACTCAATTAATACTGCTGTATTTTATCTTTCACCCTAAACCCTGTTTCTTCCCTCAATATGTGGGTACATTATATTGGTAACTGGTGTTAGTATATGGAAAAAAAAGAAGCGCTCCCCTGGATATTAGTTCTGTCTTTACTGCTGTCATCTGTAATCAGTGTATGTGAAAGAAAGTGAGAAAGATGGAGTAGGATGCCCTAATTTAAAAAATCAAAACAGAACAAAGCCCAATTCCGGAGAAAGCTTATATTAAATGAATATAGTATGATGGCTTGTATGATAAAGAACATTGTAATCAAATGTGCTGTAAAACTAGCATTGCCAAATTTACCACTTTTATTTCACACTTGATCAAAATGCTAGTTTTTAAATATCATTCATTTAAAAAGAAAACCTTGTTGGAATTATTTTCTTGAGAAGAAAAAAATGTTAGTTCCACAGTATTCTAGCATATGCCCTCAGAGTTAAAAGTATATACTTAACATCAAGTATGTATTCTTCAGTGTGCTATCTGAAACTATATTCCGTAGTTCAGTGATTGAACCTATCCTTTAATTACACAGAAACCACCTATAACAACATTGGAAACATTTAAGCCAATAGATTTACATCCCTCTCTAAGCTCTTATCTAATTGGCTACTTGGTCTGTTATGTCATAATCACACCATGCAATAGTATGTGGTAGCTAAAGTTACGATGTAAAAGTTACAATGGGGAGACTAGAGGTTTTTTTCAATGTAAAGTTTTGCTCTCTCAAATAAAACATCTGAAATTCAAGACATCTTTAAGAATTTCTTACAAAAGCATGCTGAAGGACGGTGGATCTTGTTTTCTCCCAGGAAGGATCTCTTGGAATACTTTTTCCTTCTTGTTTTAAATTGATTGTCAACAGATGCAGAAGCCACATCTTTTTATTGGTTTAGTTCTTAAGTTATTAAGCAAAGAGAAAAATGAAACTCCTTAAGATTGACACTGGACAAAACACCTCTTCTTCCTGGCTTATAAAATTCAGTTTTCTTTGGCTTTTTAGCTTGAACTGTTGCAAAGCTGATGCAGTTTGGACTGCTTACATGAACATATCTTTTCGCGTCGGGAATCGCGTTTTGTCAGTTATAGGGGAAACTGGAGTATTTGGAAGAAGCTCCCCTTTGAAGAGAGTGTCAGGAGTTCTAGTGCCTCCAGATGGAAAAACTAAAAATGCGTGTAGTCCCAATACCAGTTTCAGCAGACCAAAGAACTCAGAGATGTGGGTTGCACTTATTGAGCGGGGTGGTTGTAACTTAACACAGAAAATTAAGGTGGCAACTGAGCAGGGGGCCTGTGCAGTGATCATCTATAACTTCCCGGGAAGCGGCAATCAGCTTACCCCTATGTCTCATCAGCCTTTTAAAGACACTGTTGTAGTTCTGATTAGCAACTTAAAAGGAATGAAAATCTTGCACTTGATTCAGATGGGAGTTCCTGGTACAGTCACAGTTGAGGTGGGGAGAAAATATGTCATCTGGATGAATCACTACTTTGTCTCTTTCCTGATTGTCACTACTGCTACATTAACGTATTTTACCTTTTATCATATTCATAGACTTTGGGTAGCGAGGAGTCAGAAAAGGAGATGGCAGAAATTAGCCACAGATCTTAAGAAAGCCTTTGCCCACCTCCAGGTTCGCGTATTAAAGGAAGGAGATGAGGAGTTAAATGCAAGTGGAGATAGCTGCATAGTCTGCCTTGAACCTTATAAGCCTAACGATACGATTCGAATTCTGACTTGTAAGCATGTTTTCCACAAGAACTGCATTGACCCGTGGATTCTCAGCCGTGGCACATGCCCCATTTGCAAATGTGATGTTCTTAAAGCTTTGGGGATTCAGGTGAACATTGAAGATGGAGTAGAATCTTTGCAAGTTCTGATGGCGGATGAGTTGGCTGAATCCCTGTCGTCTAGGGAAGAGGAGACAAATAATGAAGTGACCACCGCAAGAACATCAGACGGAGAACACCACACCTCTAGGGATGGCACCAGCAAGCCCAGTTCCATAGGGGAAGCTGTTTATCCTTCACCATGACAGCGTAACCTTCGAGGAAATGGATTAAATCTGTTTGTCAGCTCAGGTCCTACCACTGACAAACTGTTTGAAGTGTGGTCCATGTGTCCTTTTCTGTTACTTTGGTAATTTTCTGTGCTCTTTGTTAAGGATTAAAATCAGGGTGGGGGATAGGTCTAGCATTGTGTTTTGGCTTAATTTTTTGTTATTTCCAAAAATAATATTTTGTCAGCGTATTTCGGTTCTGTGAGTATACATGAACTTATTTCTATGTACATGTGCATGTTAAAGGCCAGACACTTTTTCTCTGAATATTTTTTATATAGAAAGTATTAGGCATTAATAAGAAAATATATTCATGTATTTCTTCTAATACAGAAAGCCTTAGTTAACTTTGGAAACATAGTTTCTTTTATGAGCTAAGAGGAATAAAACTTACATTTCCATAATTTGTTTATAATACAGTATATTACTTTTGAGCTCACTGTGTATTTTTCCCATTCTTGGCAAGAAAATATTGCTGTATACAATTTTTAAATTTTTTAATCAATTTTATTATCCTTGATATGTATTAATTTTATTACTTATTCTTGTTCTCTTCATTTAATAAATTTTTGTGATCTGTGTCTATGCAGTGAAAACAATCTTTAAAGTGAAATAGTCATTATGCTTCACATCATTCACTGTCTAGTATTACATACAACATCTATGTGGTCATAATACATGGATTTAAGTTATATACATTTCTGTGATACTTAGTCATGGCCTATCTATTTTGCATGTATTCTAACACATTCCAAATTAATCTTCTTGCCATATAATGAAATATTTACACTTCAGAATGTTTCAGTATAGTTTAGTTTGCCCAGCATTCCGGTTTAGCAAAATATTGATGAGAAATGTTGAAATCTGCTAGGCAAATACTGATGATAGAATTTTTGGGTTGTCTTGGAGAGAGATATAGTGAAGGGAGGTTTTGTTCATGGCTCCAAGCTTCCTACCCAGAGCGCAGAGACGGGCAGAGGAGCAGGCGTGGCTGCAACTGTGTACCAAGGAGACTGCTGGGAGGAGCAGGGACACTCAACAAGGTCAGTGTTGGGTCACGGCAGCATCTGAGCAGATGACCAGCTCGGGGTGGTGTCTTCTGTGGAACACCCAGGCCTTTTTACCCAGCGCTGGAGGGGTTAGACTGATAGCCATGAGAGTTGTTATTCTTTGAAAGAACTGGATAACGTAGCAGGAGCACTGTTTTGTGTTTACCCCGAGACTGTAGGACATAACATACTATGAGCCTTCTTAGAGTCATCTCACCCAAACCAGGAGAAAATGCTGCTGTTGGAATAGCTGGTGCTGATGTGTGTGCTGCTGGAACCCAACAACGGAGGGGATGGCAGTGGGGACTTCTGCTAGTCACCCAAGAGAATCCCAGAGCTTTGGAAATGAGTATATCCAGTGGTGATGGCAGTCCATGGACTCAGAGTGCTGGATTGTGGCAGCACTTAGCAGATTCTTATGAGGTCTTTACTCCATGTTAGCCTTAGTACTTGAGGGATTTGTTTTCACTTTTAGTGTGAGAGTGCCATTTTATTTTCACTCGTTTTTCTGAATCCTTGTTGGTTTCTCTTTTTATTTCTTTTCTTCCTTTTCCTTTGTCCATCATTGTCAAGTTGAACTCAGCTTCCCTCCATATATAAGCCATGAGCATGTGTTCACTTTTATAAAAGATAGTTTTTTTTTTTTTAACACAATGTGCTTATCCTTTTATGGGAGACTTTTCAGTGAGCATTCTTTAAAGGTTTTTGGGACCTATTTTGGAAGCAGGATACAGGAGGTCAAGTCTATAAACTCAGAAATGTTTTCTGCTGAGTGCTTTGCTTACATGGAAATGTACATTATGGCAGATAATGTACATTATGTAGTTGTTTGTCATATTTCAGAACAAAACAATAGTTTTAATCCTTGTCTGCAGAACGATGTAAACACATCAATAAATCACTGTTACTTTGGATTTAAGAACCAAGACTTGGAAATAGCCCTGCTATGTCAAATATTAGGTATTATTCATTCTGATATATTTTTACCTATCCTGTGGGCTGTGCCATTTCCTCTTGGACCTAGTGATGCAAATATATTGTGTCATAATGATGCAGGATAATAATGTGAATTATTTTGCCCTTACAATGAGGAATGTAATGGGTTTCTTTTGCATTTTGCCTTTTTTTTTTTTTTTTTTTTTTTTTTACATTCTTTGGTTATCAAAGTTTTATTTCCCACCTCTTGATCAGTACTAGGTTAATGTTCTTTATAAAAATTAAGTTTACTTTATTCCTTGTTTGTTAGTAAAATACTAGGTTTCATATTTTACCAAAGTGAAGATATTCTAGCAGTCTTTAATTGCAGTTGAGTGATACTATATTTAGTTGAAATTATTCTGTCTATAGATATGGTAGTCAAAAGTCATTGAGAATGGTTGGGATAGATATATAGCTACATTCTCTTAAATCAAGGAATAGAGGGACTTGTTTTAATAGTGTTTGTAAACAGCATATCATGTCTGAGTCTTGTACAACAACCACTAGGAAGGCAGTATGCAGTGTGTTAATTATTGGAACTGTCCTACCAATTTGATTTGAAACTGTCTTATTGATATTTATTTCTCAATAAAATTATGGAAAAAAATAAATAGACCACAACTTAAAAGTCATAGCATAATGGTAATGTCCTTGCCTCTCACTGTAGAGTTGGTGTAATTGTCCTATAGATAAACGTTGGGGTGGCAGTGAGGGCTGCCTGTTGACTGGCTTGGCTTGGAGTCCACACACTTCGGGGTGGAAGCTCAGCCCTGCAGTGTGTCCTGTCCCTGCCCCCATCATCCTTGGCACTGTCCCCCTGCTTTTTGGCTCCCTGACCTTAGCATCTGTGCCCTGCCACACCCTTCCACAGTCGGGGTTCTGCATTGGAGGCAGGTGACTGAGGACCAAATGCCCATTTAACTCCCTCCCACACACACAAAGAGAAAAGCTGTTAAGTTGTGAGTATCAGTATTGTGTCCTAGCAGGGGGAAGTCTAATGCCGTTAGCCAGCTTGTATTTGTAGTAATAACATGAGGCCTTCAGAGGACTTAGTGAGACAGATTTGCCTTTTCTGGTAGTTAATCCTAGTGTGTGCTTAGAGTGGTCTCTCCTCCAAATGCACAGGTTTCTGAAACAGCAGGCAGGAATTAGGAGGTGAAAAGAATCAGAGCTCAGAGAAGCATTGATTGCAAGAGAAAATCTTGTGTCAATTCTACCACGGGGGCATTTTAGTGACAATGTTGTCCTCTCATTCCTTTTTACCATAAGCAACTATTATATTTTAGAAGTAGAACCCTTTCTTCAGTTTAGCAATTACAGTACTGCATTTTCTTTTAAAATCTAGTTCTCGGGGCTGGAGAGATGGCTCAGTGGTCTAAAGCACCTACTTGGAACAAGCTTGGCAAAGCACAGGGAC